CAATTTATTTCATGTTTCCAAAACTTAAAGTTGGTGTCCTTCCAGTGATCAAATATTCTCTTTTATCTTCAGCCTTTTATTTTGAAGTTTAGCTCTCTAACCAATCAATGACAGCAAGATAAATACTCAGATCATAAACCTGAGGACATGCTTCCACCTATGCTATGATTTGCATCACTGCACTAATGAGATACACTGTTAACCCACCAGACCATACCATCACCGATCTTGTAGGCAGCTGCCTGTGTCTCATGCCAGTGAAAGAGAAGTCCTCCGATGTGTGTGGTATCTTCAGATCCTCACTAATCTCTCCCGAGGTGCCCCTCGTCTGCCTGGTGACTGCCAACCTTTGCAGGCATTGGCAGGTGAGGGCTGTGGCTGATCTCTTTGGTGGCTCGGTCAGAGCCTGGTGACCCAACAGCCCTCAGTCTCTGAACTTATAGACCCTCTGAATTCCACCATGTGCCTCTTTCAGCTGGGCTTTCAGCTCGGCTGCAGTCACCAGGCTCCTCCCCACAAGGAGTCCCTAGCAGGATTCCTGGCTTTCCAATTCCACTCCCTTCCTTTCAGATCCTTCCCTAAGGAAGGAGCCTGGAAGACAGACCCTCCCTGCTCTGGAATGATGCTAGGCCAGGGTACCCTCCTTTATGTTGATGAAGGCACCACCTGCCTTGTGTAGCTGCCCCCAGAGGTCTACACAAGAGTCCTTGAAGTTCACTCATGTTAACAGATCCCTGCTTACTTATCCCAGCCATCAAAGGCCCCCAAAGAGGAGAGGTTGGAGCAGGTATGTCTTACCTTGCACTCTTTCAAACTGTCTCCCCTCTTCCCACTTCCCTCTCCCTTCCACACCCTTGAGTTGGAAATGGTAGGCTTTTACTTCCTCTCTGTCAGATCCTTGCCCCAAACCGCCCCCCCCCAAAGCCTCCTGCTAAAGAGCATCAGCTTCAAGGCCCAGTTCTGTGGGAAAGCTTGGGGAACATTCATCCAGGCTAGTTTCCAAAAGGAAAGGGAAAAAAAGACTTCAAAACATTTCTGCACCCAGCCATAGAAATCAAATATCTGCCTGCTGGTTTGAGAGATGGAAGCCTGTCAGGGGACTGCGATTTAAAAGGGAAGTAAAATTTATTAGTTTAATATTTTTCAAAGACATTTTTCATATATCTAATATAATGTTGATTAGGTCTTTGGAATAGATACCCTTCACCATTTTAGGGAAATAGATTTCTAGCCCTATTTAAACTTCTGATTTTAACCAGTTTAACCAGTTGAGAGGTATGTTTAAAAATTAACCTGCTCTAGGCGCATCTGGGTAGCTCAGTCAGTTGAGCATCTGACTCTTGATTTCAGCTCAGGTCATGATCCTGCAGTCGTGGGATCCAGCCCCGCATTGGGCTCCGTGCTCAGCATCCCTCTCTTGTCTCTCTCTGTCCCTCCCCTGCTCATACTCTCTCTCTCCCTCAAAATAAATAAATAAACTATCAAAACATTAAATTAACCTGCTATATTAATACATTTTCTATGTAGAACCTTCTTATATTTGGGGGATAATTCAACTAGATTGTGGTATATTCATATTTTAATGTGTTAGTAAATTCCATATGCTATTATGTTAATTCAAAAGAGGTTAGTCTTTTTCTTTGTCCTCAGTGGTCTCCAATTTTTAATTCTTTTCACTATCTTTATCAGCTTTGGAATGAAGGCCTAGAAATCAGGCAGTTCCTCATATTTCTATACTCTGGAAGGTTTTACACAACGCAGGAACTATCAATTGTATAATGTCTGGAGGAGCAGTCTGGAAGTATTCAACAGTGAACTCCATGTATGGGTCTTTAACATCCTCAGTTACTTCCACAATTGTTAGTTTTTTCAGGATTTCTACTTTAAGTTAATGCTATTTTTTTTTAAATAATTTCATGGAGGTATTTATACTTATTAATATATCATTTAAGAAATTAGTTTATATTGCTCAGGTTGGTTGTTCCCTTTCTAATATTGTATTGTGTGTGTGTGTTTCTTAGATTTCCTAAAGGAGTTCATTTTGCTAGAGTTTGCCAAAAAGCAAATCTAATATTTAGCTCTTAATTATCTTGTTTTTCTGTGTGTCTAGTTTATTTTTACATTTAACATCACACCAGGGCCTCCTCTTTTTTTTCCTTCAGAATGTTTATTTTTTCCCGAAGTTGAATGCATTTTCTTAATGTCTTAAATATCAACTTCATTCCTATATTTCTCCAAAAGGAATAGAATGAAATAGTACAGTTTTATCTATTGTTAACCAGAGTAAAGTCCAAAGCTAAAATTGAGAAGTGGTGCACAAACAAACAAACAAAAAAAAAAAAAAAAAAAAAAAAGAAAAGAAAAAGGAAAAGAAAAGAGAGAGAGAAAGAAAAGTAGTGGACAGGGGACAGCTGGCTGGCTCACTTGGTAGAGCATATGACTCTTGATCTTGGAGTTGTGAGTTCGAGCCCTGCATTGGATGTAGAGATTACTTAAAAATAAAATCTTAAAAAAAAAAAAAAAAAAAAGGAAAAAAGTAGCAGAAAATTTGGGAGAGCATCCCTGGAGAATGGGGAGGAGTGGAGAGGGGATTGATGCGTGTTCAGAACTTCCCTTCAAACAGTCCCAAGATAAGCAGATAGCATGATGGGAAGCATGTACAGTACTATTTACTGTTAACTGATTAGCTTCCTCAGGTGGCATATCTTTTCCCTAGTAACATATGATGTGAAGCATCTTTTCATATGCTTATTTGCCATCTGTCTATCCCCTTTAATGAGGTGTCTGTTACTGTCTTTGGCCCACCTTTTTTTTTTTTTTAATGTAGGCTTCATATCCATTGTGGAGTCCAGCTCTGGGCTTGAGCTCATGACCATGAGCTCAAGACCTGAACTGAGATCAAGACAAAGACAAAGAGATCTTGACAGGCCACAAGGACGGGCAAATTTAAAATGAACTTTTCCAGGACATCTGTGTGGCTCAGTCAGTTAAGTGTCCGACTTCAATTCAGGTCATGATCTCATGGCTCGTGAGTTCAAGCCTGGCCTTGGGCTCTGTGCTGACAGCTCAGAGCCTGGAGCCTGCTCTGGATTCTCTGTCTCCCTCTCTCTCTCTGCCCCTCCCCTGCTTGTGCGCGCGCTCTCTCTCTCTCTCTCTCTCTCTCTCTCTCTCTCTCAAAAATGAATAAATAAACTTAAAAAGTTGAAGAGAAAACATAGTTCAAATGCATTTTGTAAACTCTCATCCCTACATAAGTATAGAGAATTATAATATCTATTCTATCAACACTAAATTTACTTCTATCTTTCCCATCAGGAAGTTATATTGTCAGCTGATCCCAGACTTAAGCAAGAAATCAAACTTAGATCATCACTGTATTTTCCCAAAGACATTCTGAGCTTTTTCAAATGTTCACATTTTCCTTTTTGCTCTAGGTATGAGTGACTTCTAGCAACTGCTCAGAACTGTGAGTTTGTTGACTATGGGGCACCTGCCAGGAATGAGGTTGGGCTCAGAATAGGTGCCATATAGGAGATAATGCTTTGGTGTTAGCCAGGGAGACTAAGGACCCAAGCAGGTTTCCATGCAGAACCACACGGGTAGGGGGACAAAGCAGAGGGTGGTTGGGGAGAGGAAGATGGGGAGCGATTCCTCAGGGAGGGGTGGGGTGCATATATGGCTCCATGGTGGACACACAGGGGTACAGCAGGAGACTGAGATGGAAGGTCTTGGCATCAGGGACAAATATATGGTTTATCCTAAGGGCAAAAGAACATATGTAAGGATTTTAAAAAACACATTTAAAGTGTTCTAAAGGAATACTTGGGATTTTTTTTTTTGTAGACAATATGAAAAAAATAGGTAAAAAAGGAGGGGGAAATCATTTAGTGTTCTACTACATAAAGAAAACTCCTGTTAAGGTTCTACGCTGTTGAAAGAGTCAGTGTCTGGTTTTCTTCTGGTGGCAATGTAGATAAGAGAACAAAGGGGAATTGAACATAAAGCAGTTGTTGCTAACACTTCTTTTTTTGTGTGCTGGAAGTTTGAGCAACTGCATATTATCTACAGAACTCACAAGTAGGACTTCCAAGGTATCTAAGAGATCAGCCCCTTTAACTCCTATGGACCGTTCCGCCTCAATCTCCCCAATTAATCACAACCATCAAGCCATGCCTCAGAAACAATGTGGGCCTCTGGCCCTGCATCTCCAGATATCATTCCCATCCCTCCCAAAGCAGCTGAACCAACATCTTTTGAGGCGACCAAATGGTGGAGACATCACCGGCACATCCAGTGTCCACATTTGGATTTCAGCAACCTTCTCCTGACAGATTTCTTCAGAATATCCACATAGGGGCCTTCATTCACATGACGGCCTGAAGGGCTGCAGGGTGACATTCCCACCACCCACTTAGGAGAACATCTGGAGGAATGGGATAAAGGGCATTCTTGACACTTCTCGACGATAAAGACCACCAAGGGGCTAGGGAGAGTGTCCAGCGTGGCTTGAGGCCAGTCCAGTTCCTGGGTGAGGAGAGACTCAGTCTTCCACAGTGATGTGGGCATACATCTTACCTTCACATGGGGAAAATGATTTTCACTCTCCCTACCTTGCAGAGTTGTAGTGAAGATTGAGTGAACTTAGTGTTTTGGAACAATACAAAATGTTGTGAATATGGAGAAAACTGGCTCCTTTTTGCCCCACTGCTCATGTAGGTGTTGAAATGTCATTTATACCCTGTCCAAGTAGCTCCAGATATAGAGGCACCTGCATGGATACATGATAAGATAGATAGATGGATAGATAGATAGATAGATAGATAGATTGAAAGGTAGGTTTATATATGGCTTTATGTATATATTTTTTATATTCATATTTATATGTAAAATTCTAACTTAGGGTAGGCAAAATCACTCTTTTAAACCCCAAGCATGCCTGTTCTTTTACCTAAACTAATAGGCTCCATCCCCACCTACCTTACACACTCTGTTGTTGATCTCCTAGCTCTCTGGGTGGCATTTCCATTGGGGAAAAAAAAGTGATGGAAGAATCCCCTTGAATTAGGACTCGAGATAAACAACAACAAAGAGGCTGGAGGGACTTTATCCAAACATATGACCCTTTGGGGCTCTGAAGCAGGCCATTTGGTGACTGGCATATGCAACATCCATTCCAAATCCCATGGGTGACCTTATTAGCAAGGGGGTGGGGTTGGGGGAGGTATGTAACCAGTATCAACCTCAAAACAAAATATTTGATCAAAGTCTTTTGTAATGATCTGTTATTTCCAGTCTTTTGACTCTGCCAGATAACCTACTCTCTCCAGATGGAGAAACACTTTTAGAATGTGACACATATCATTTTTAGTATGCCCACAATTGAGACCAAATATTTGTGTGAATGAGGGTAGGGATGAGTGTGGAGAGAACATGCTGCATCTCCTAATGAATTGAATTCGACTAATGTATGCCAGCGCCTGTGCTGGGTACTGGAGATACCAAGATAAATGATATATCTGGTGCAAACATTCTAGTGATGCTTCTTGTATTGTTGGGAGGGTTTGGTTTTTGTTTTTGTTTTTTTTTTGTTTTGTTTTGTTTTGTTTTGTTTTTGTTTTTTAGTATAACTGAGCCTGCTAAACACTCTACAAATTGCTACCCTGCCAAAATTCTGCCTGGGCTCAGACTATCTCGGTGATGGTGTTTCTCTTGTATGCCAAGGTATCTACTTCTTAGAAACCATCTTATTAAGTCCTACTTAACTTGTGGGTTCTATGTTGAAAAAGTCTCATTTAGGTTTGTTTGTTTTTTAACATTTTCAGCTTGTTTTAAGAAATTCTTCAACAGGAATTAGGCAGGTCAAGAACTGTGAAGAAACCCATCAGGAATGGCAGTGTGTAATAAGGGACAAAGGAGTTGGGATTTGATCCAGATCCTCTGTCTCCAAGCACAGTCTTCATTCTGTGGCACACAGTAGCCAACTTCAGGACACCGGTTCTGATTGCATGACTACAGAGATTCAAGAGGCTCAAAATGAACCCTGCAACCGGTTTTCGAACTCTGTGAGTTCTTTCTTAGCCTGGGTCTCACCTTATCCCAAAGGAATGTTCTTGTGATGAAGACAAGTTGAGAAGAAAGGCTGGCCCCAGCTCACGCATTACAGACAAAACCATTTGTTTTGTTAACCTCATGTGAACATTACAAATGTGTGATGGAGCAGAGGCCACATCCTTCTATAGATTAGCAATTTCTTGAGTCAACATGGCCCCTTTACCTTGACCTTCAAAGGAAACACTTCAAAGGAAAAAGCCAAGGTCCTCTTCAGATGGTGGGAACTCTGAGGTGCTCTTGCTTTTGAACTCAGAGGGCTTGGGTGTCAATGCCAACTGGTTTGATTTTGCTATATGTGAGCATCTGTGTGGGTGGGTGAGTGGGTGCCTCTCTCTCTCAAATTCCTTATGTGTTGATGGTGTCCTTCTTTCAAATAATTTAAATGGGAAGTCCTGTGGAACAACATTCTATGGGAAAGTTTCCCACAGATGGGTTTCAGCAAATGAACTTGTGCTTTTATAGAGAGGGACCTCGTGTTTTCTGAGGACCATGTTTTAAACTACAGCAGTCAGGGAAGGAGTCTAATCCCTGGTATTAAAAAAATGTTGAGTCTGGGGGCACAAACAGCTCCATTTTCCTGTCTTTACGTCAGGGGCTCTAACACAGCCGACACCAGCCAAAGTGCCAGCACGTCCCCCACTCCTGTATAATCACAGGAATTCTGGATTTCATCTGGAGCTATAGTTGTGCCTCCTCGTCCTGCCTGTGCACTCAACTTGGGCCCTAGAAAGTTCTTGAAAAAGTTAATAGCATGGTGTAAATATAGCTGTTTTTATCATATTCAACAAGCAGTAAGATAGAAGAGAGGCAGTTAGGCCCACTGATAGTGTATCTAGTTTCTGTTGGGAGCCCCTCCCCATGGAAAGCAAGGCCTTGTGGAAAATAACAAACTTGCATTTGGATTTCTCTCTGCTCTTAATTAATTAAAACGTGGGATTGAAGTGGCAGCTACGACCTTGAGTTCCACAAGGCTTTATCAGCTGGTGAGAAGACCTCTTTTGCCAACAGCTAATCTGTGTGGAAGAATAGGTTGGCACAAAGGACAAGGAAATGGGCTTGGATTCACATAGCTAGTGCTTTAACTACTACTGCTTTTCAGAAGTTTGATGAGAAGGGGCACCTGGATGGCTTAGTTGGTTGAGCATCTGACTTCAGCTCAGGTCATGATCTCATGGTTCGTGAGTTTGAGCCCCATGTTGGGGTTGCTGCTGTCAGTGCAGAACCTGCTTCGGGTCCTCTCTCTGCCCATCCCCTGGTCATGCTCTCTCTCTCAAAAATAAACTTAAAAAAATAATTTAAAACATTTTTTTTTCAATGAGAATTGGTCCCTGTCCTCACTCTTCTCTTTTACAACAGTTGCTGATACTCTCCCTTGTTCCTTCTTCCAGATAGCTTTTAGAATCCTTGAGGCAAATTCTAAGAAAATTCCTATTGGCATTGGATTAAATTTGTAAATTATTTTGGGATGCATAGACAGCTTTGTGGCGTATGTTCCCTCTTATTGAGAAGGATGATGCATCTCAACGATCAGTTTTTGCAACATCTTCTGTATGTAACCACATACAGGTCTCATTTGAATTATTGGAAGATGTGAGTGTGGCAGAAATGGCACTCTCCTATATTATTGGAAGAAGCATAAATTAGTGCAAATATTCCAGGAAGGTAATTTGGCAGGAAACATAAAAAACGTGGAGCTCTTTTCTAAGAATTTGACCTAAATTAACCATCAGGGCTGTGAAAGAGGGTTTAGGGGCAAGGATATGAATTGTGTTACTATTTATAATAGCCAGGAAGAAAGAAAGAAAGAAAGAAAGAAAGAAAGAAAGAAAGAAAGAAAGAAAGAA